GACCATTTAAATGCATAATGTGTGCAGAGGACATTTAGTGTGAATGGAATTGGAATATACTACACTTGTCCAGTTACAGCAATACTCAGAGATACACTATAATGTTTCTATTATGTGGCACTTAATAAAATCGCACAACCTGAAGCTTCACTGACGATGATTGTGTGGGAATTCCTACAGGTTACAGTCTGTAAGTACAGAAGACATGCACCCATACATTTAGTTTACTGACTCATCTGTGGTGGTTTTCTTGTGCTGTGACTTATTTATTTAATTATCATGAGATAACTGCTGGTTTTCTTTTGATAACGGGATCATTTTATGACGATCTAAAAAAAAAATAGGCTGGAGACTTTTATAGGCCGGACCGAGACATGTCCTTCTAACATTGCCCTAATGAGGTAAGTTAAGCCCTTTTTTTTGTTTGTTTTGTGCTTTTCAATTAAGCGTATGAGATAAATAAGTCAAGATCTTGAGAAAACAGATGTTTGGATTGATGTCTGCTTAGAGCTTCTCTGAATGTCTTTAAGTTGGCAGGTGACAAACATGAGTTGTTTTCTGTCTTTTATCATACATGTATGAACATTATGTTACTCGTTATAACTTGAAAGAAAACCTACGTCCTGATAGATTTACATTTCACATCGAGTGTATGTTGTTCATTCAACCCTTTTTTCACATCAGGCATTAAGTGTCCTCACAGCTATAACTACTAACAGTAGAAATGACTGACTTGTGGAGCGACACGTCCCTGTTCTGTGAAGACAGGTTTGACCAGTAGGGTGTCACCAAAATCTGAGAGGGCACGGTAATGCAGCATATTTTCAGGACGAGTTATTACTTGCCTAGACTTAAGGGACTTTAAATGTTAAATTTGAACAAGCAGTTGGGTTCAAGTATTTCGTCTGTCTTCAAAACGGGAAGCGACAAACCTTTACCTTTTTTTATTTATTTATTTTTTTAACTTATTTCGCCTTCAGGTAGAGACAATAAAGAAAAAGTCATTTTGAAATATATTCCTACATTTCACTCGGCTCACCACAAGGGGGAAGCATTACTACGTGTTTAAATGTGCGTCTGAACTTTGGAAATACAGAAAGAAAAAAGTAACTCAGAAATTCTTTTTTTTTTTTTTTTTTAATGAAAAAAAATCTAAACTCATTTTTTTTTGTATGAAAAGCTAATTTGGGTGTAAAGAAGTCTTAAACAACTGAACAAGAAGGCGTCAATATATGAAATATAGATTAACACGTCTTAAACAGTTAAGTTATGGCAAACCCTTTTAACATTAAACCAGTCTGGCTGATGAGTAGCGATTTCGTTTTTAATATTGTAAATTACATTTCAACATGTCGAAATGTAATTTTGACATGTTGAAATGTTAATTCAAGATATCTGTAAAAACATTTTTACATGTTACAAATACATTTCTATGTCAAAATGTAATTTATCAAATAATGTTATTTTGACTAGTAAGAATTGCATTTTATATTAAAATATATAATGTAATTAATTTACATTAATTTATAATGTAAGAACAATTGTAGATATCATAGATGAACGTTTTCACGAGTAAGAATTGTATTGTTGATATCAAGAATGAACATTTTTGCTAGTAAAAAATGACATGTAGATATCTCTAATTAGAATTGTTACTAGTGAAAATTACATTGTGGATATGTCTGCTTGGAATTCTAACATGTCAAAAAGCAATTATTGATATCTACAATTGCTTTTACCGCTAATAGCCTAATTTAATGTTAAAAGAGCTTGCCGTAGTTAAGTTATTATATTGATGTGGATTCCGAAACAAAAAATTCATACCTTAAACACATGGCTTTACAAACATGTCATCAAAAGAGCTTCATCCATCTGTTACTGCAGCATTAAGTGTTACTTACCACTACTACTTCTACTTCTACTACCAATAATCATTCTTAATGATGGACGAAGGTATTAACTGCTGAAGATATGGCCTCACATTATGATTTCATAACCTCATAAACTGCTAAAGCAGTGGGTTTAATGCCCCCATAAAAACGTAATTAAAACCATTCATGCAGGAAGTGGAAAGACTGGTTAGACTGACAGAGGGGGCGGGGCTTCTGTGTGCTGCTCATTCCACCACTAGGTGTCATGGCCTCCTTAAGAAAGACTAAGGGGCCTGATGTTTGCTTCCCAGCTCATAGTTTCCTTTGTTTATTCTCTAACAGGAGCTTTAAGTTACCTCAGTCTGAACTGTCACTTTGTCTGGTTGACATATGTAGTTATATAAAAAAACAAATTGTAGATCTATAGCCTGTATTTCCTAACAGGATTCAGAGGACTATAGCCTATAGGAACACACAACATCATCAGCAGGTCTGTCTTGCATCTTAAAAGCTTGTATAACTTCCTCCAAAACCTCCCCAAAGACATTATCTCAGTTCTCCATGTTGAGCCTCGGAGTTGCTCTGCGTTCCACCTTTCTTCCCCGGCGCTCTCCCCTTTCTCAACACCCCACCTGGAATGGAGTCCAGATGTGGAGCAAGCAGGCGGAGAGAGATTGCTTTGCGTTGCTATAAGGAGAGAGGGAGGGCTGGAGAGAAAATGTTGGAACGACATTAAAGTTTGTCTGGATGCCATTAAGTACAATTTGATGTAATGTGCAGTTTGGGACGTGACTTTCTAAATGGAAACTGTGCTCTCCAGATGAGAGAGATTTGGGCCTTGCACAGTTGGAGGGGGGTGTTGTACTTGAAGCTTTATTTAACAGCTTGGATAAACAGCCCTCTGTTTCAGGCGCCCGTCCACTCCTTGTGCTTTATTTCAATAATCACGCTGGCTTTCCAGCGTACAGTATCATATACAGGAATAACAAACCCGGGGTCCACTGTGTGGGTCAGAGCACAGAGCACCATTATTCTGCAGGCTGTGCTCGCATGACTGAGGGGCCTGCAGTCTGGATTTGTCAGCGAATACATGTCGGGCCCAATTGCAAAATGTTTCTTTTCAAAAGCTTTCCTGCTTCAACTTCTCATATTTTGAAATTCTCTCCAGGTTTGAATCGTTCCGCTCTCCATCCTCTCGGGCCTCTCGGATATCAAACAGTATTTTCTTTTTTTTAAAGAAATGTATTTTGGGATTCTTCCACTCACAGGCAAAACGGTGATCCTCTGTAATTTTTGGAACCTATGTTGGATTCTTTATGGGGGGGAAATTCTTTATTTATTGTAGAAAAATTGGTCTGTCAACAAAAGAATTGAGTTATTGGAATATCTTTCTTGTGAAGTATCTCTATATCTAAGAGAATTTGTTCAAGTGTCAGCATGCATGAGCACCATTTATCTTTGACAACAAAAGCAACACTCGTGTAGATGATTTTGATTTTTGGATTTTTGGCTCAAGTTTTTGTTAATGTTCAGAACATTCGTCTGTATTGTCTGCATTCAGCGGCAACCTACGTCTAGCCATCTAATGCTATCATTTTTGGCAGCTTGAGGTTGGCCAATGGCGTCCAGTAAGAATAAAATAAAAGCTGTTTATAATGTGGCTCTAACTCGCCTCAGATATCTATCATCTGAGAGCTGAGTCACATTATGTTTCCAGGATCAGGTTGTTCTGCATAACAATAACTCTCTCTTTACAACATTATGTAGAATTTGTTAATGTGTATTATTCATTATCTCCCCTCCTTGCAGATAGAATAAATGTTCTTAGATCCACTGTCAGTCACACATACATTCCTTCAGAGATCCTAAGCATCCATCCATAACTTTAACCAAGACATTCCTGCTTCATAAAACCTGGATGGCAATGACCACTACAAATCAAAAAACAGCAGCATTGCTGCACAGGCTGGTCGATAAGGCATGAACCCACCAAAAATGTCCACTTGCTGATCCTGTTAAACATTAGCTTCCTCTTGCACCTTAAAGTAGAGTTTGAATTTTATTTTTAATAGGCCTACCATTCATACAAGCTACACAATAAACATTATTATAAGAGGTAATGTGACATTATTCCTCACCTTTTACGTTACAAATAAAAAATAAAGACACATAAGGATATAAAAATTGCTTTTACAAAGACTTTTAAACTGACATTGTCAAAATGTGTTTTTCTTAAATAACATATCATGAAGGCAAACTGCAATAAACACATTATTCGACTGGGCTGCTTGATAAAGAGTAATGAAAGTGTTTTCAGGAGGGCTTCCTCTCTTGTAGCAGGTAAACCTCCTCTCTGTACGGGCTGGATGCGCTAGGACCGCGGGGACCAGTGCGCAGGCGCAGACGGAACAGGCGCACTTGGGGTTGTAACTAAGCGAGTTTGAGTGTGACAGACGCAAGCAGGCAAAACCGCTAGATTTTTTGGGAATTACACAGGAGCCGAATAGGACCAGCTCACTTCTTGTCCGAACTTTTTTTTTTTTTTCACTCCTGTTTGAAAGTTTTCAAAAGTTTCTCCTTAGAGAGATCAACGTAGACCTCGGGATCCGGGAGAAGAGGGGAGGAAAGTTTTTAAGAGCAGCGATACAACTGAGAAAAATGTTTGGGATTACACTTTTTTTTTCCTTCTTCATATAAATGACAGTGTGTGGCTTTTGACTGCTCTGTCGTGGCTTTCATCAACCTCAAGACTGACTTTTACAGCGGGAGATATTCTAACGACTCTCCAAAGTATCCTAAAAGTGTTGTAAACTTCTCAAGATAATTAAGCCGACTGACAACTTTTTAAGGCACACTCTTGCGTCTGTGTGTAGGTGTTGAGGACGTGTGGATGGACTCACTCTCCTTTGAGTTTAGTTGGACCAGAGGGAGCTGTGCGCCCGGGCTGCCATGATATAACGGGACACTGTTGGAAAATCACTATTGCTAAAAGACCGGATGGTGAGAGTTTACTGCCAAGCGAAGGATTTCCAAGTTAACCATTCATTCAAGACCTAAAAAAGATACTCGTCCAACTTCCTCTTACACACCTCACGCCCTCCACTGAAAGCTTCATGGTGGAGTTATGGGATGACTGGAGGCGGGGGTGCAGCTGAGGTGAGCTCCAGCCGAAGGACAATGTTTGCGCCCGGCGTTGGCATCCCTCCGCTGCCGGGGCGGCTGGTACTGATGCTGCTCCTGCTGTGCGCCTCCGAGCCCAGGCTCTCCAGGGCCTGTACCGGGTTGCTCGCCTCCACCAGCGGCTGCAGCTGCACGGAGGAGCGGGGGAAAACGCACAGTGTCCCGGGCCAGGCTGTGGGGAGGAGGGTCAGCTGCACCAAGGAGGAGCTGAGTGAGCCACCGGATGGCAGCCTGCTACCCAACAGGACCGTCACCCTGTGAGTCTGAACACTGACGGCTTCACGGTTGTCTCCAAACTATTAACATATATTTATAGCACGATTCATCTGATGTGGTTTGTTGCACTGAGTGGGACTTCACTGTCTGACCTTGAATTCATTTGTGTCCTCTGTTATGACATTCCTTCTTTAATTTGTTTAGTACTGACCAATCATGCTATGTTTAAGCTGTTATAGCTTTTGTCAGTTTTACTTGGTTTATACTATAAGGGTGAACTTGCAGAGGACATAGTTTTGAAAATTAATTGACAGGATACTATATGGGTGATGCTGGTGTGTTTTCCAATAAATAGAAGAGTAAAAGAAGGGAGGCTGGAGTGTCAAAAATCAGATCTACACACTCATGCCTCTGAACCCATGACCTCAGGTTTAACTGTATTGAGATCTTGCTTGTAGTAATGAGGCTTATTAGGTCAGAAGTTTACATCTTGATTTAGTTTACCTCTGCAGAGGAGGGCTGAGCATCGCCTCTCTGTGAAGCACTTAGGGAAGATCAACAAGAGGGCATGCTGACTGTAACACCCATCATGGCCCTGCCTCATTGACACGTCTGTCACTTTAAGTTTGACTTGCAGCTCCGTCTTTCTCCCACCAACCCCCTGTGCACATGGTGTGGGTGACTTAACTGGAATGAACAGAACACACACATATACTATACGTTTATATTTATACTAGAAAGAAAGAGCATTTGGTGGGAATCTGACAGAAATGGCTGTGGGCCTGGTTTGATATTTTTTAATTAAGAAGTTATTTGTGTGGTCTCCTTGGATAGAACATGTAAGAGCCTCATAGTTTGCCAAAGCACACTATCTCTCATGATGGATGCACCACTAATCTATCAGTGACACATAATTTTGGGGTGTTGTGTTGTTGAACACTTTCCTAACAGCCGCTCAGACTTTCTGTAGACATTGCTCATTCCCACAGTATGTTACTGTCTCTGTACTCTGACCCAGTGGGAGAAATGTTAGCTGCACATGGGCACAGTAAAAAAAAAACATGTTCAACTGCCCCTCTGCAGCGAGCATATGAGGTAAAGTAAGGGGATTTATGCCCCAGGAGAGCTGAAACGAGCCAGCAGTCCATTTATAGGCCCTTGTGTTTCTTGCTTAATAAAGGCAGGATAAACATCTGGAGAACACATTGCTGGAAACAGTGGGGGGAGGGGGTGGTGGTGGCAGTGGTCGAGGTGATTGAATATAATCTTCCATTCTTGCATCTACTAATTTTGGTTTGGTTGTTTTTGCACACATGGCGTACATTCTGTGACACATTTATAATGCTGCAGAGCAAACAGTTCCGCCCACTTTACCTTTGACTCTGGTGTCTGGAACGTTCATTGTCCTGAAGATTGGTTTGGTTCCTCAAGAGCCCTTCTCCCATCTTCACTCATGACATTAGCTCCAGATGTGGAATGTGAGAAGATGTGTTGATATTCGTGTTATTCCTGACATTCCTCAACTCCGCTTAGAGACAGACTGTATCCCAGGTGCAGCAGGGGCGCTTTCTCTGTGCCCTACGCCGCCTCGGTCCCTCCCCGCGTCAGACAGCCTGACAGCCGGCTGTGCCGCCCTCTCTCTCTCTGGAGGAATCTCTCCTCCATGCTGAGCGAGCGAAGGCTAGAGGACACCAGGCTTTGGGCTTCCGGGGCCGGCTGCTACGTGTAATGCACAACAGCTGGCCCCTGTGAAACATTCCAGCTGAGGCCCCTCAGCCTCATGGGAAATCCCAACGGGGATTTGTTTATTAAAACTATTAGCTGTTTGTTGTTCCTGCCAGCCGTAAAGGAGCAACCAGTCGGCCTAATATTACCACCTCCTTCAGTCCAGTCTTGAGATGCACTTTGATTACAGATCATATATTTCTCAGTTTGTACGAACTCACACTTAGCGCGGGTTTACTGATGAATCTTGCTATTCTCAGCTATCAGCCATCTTTTGTCCCACTTTCCCTCTTTTCCTTATCTCCAGCTCCCCATTTTTCTCCCCTTCCTGCCCCCCTCTATCATGAGTTCATCCACACGCAGTAACTCTCAACCTAAATATTTAGCCGTCCTGGTAGGAAACTGCCATGTCCAAACTCCTTCCAGATGTGAGCCTGCGCAGCCTTGTGTTTAGGCCTAATTATGCACGGCTGCAGAGGAGCTGGATCACTGGGAGAGGAAGAGGAGCGGAAGGGTAGAGAGGGGGGAAATAGATAAGAGCGTGAAAGCTTAAAAAAGAAGTGCTTTCGTTTTAGTAGAAAGTGGGAATAAAGGAGAAAGTTGAGCATGCGGATGAAGAATGAAGATGCGGATCTAAGAAGAAGAGACCATGAGGGGAACAAAAAAAGAGAGCAGAGCGAGAGTGAGAGTGAGGATGGAGGAGGGAGAGGAGAAGCTTGGCAGGCGGTTCAGAGGGATGTTCCCCTGGAGACTGAAAACTCCCCAGCCCCTGACTAACAGATCTTTGACACTGGGGTGAGAGGGAGAAGAAGGAGGAGGCAGGGTTCCTCAATACAGCTACATACTCCGTGTCTATATTATTATCAATCTTTTCTGTGTGAAAGAGGAACTTTTGTTATTTTGGGGAAGGAAAAAAAACATGCTTGCTGATGGATGCATAGCACACACACACACACTCAGTGTATAGAAACAGAGTAGTAACTCCTCTGGCTGCTCAGTGTGCTGGCAGCTGTGTTTGTTTTAATATTTTAATGGAGAACAGACAAATGAAGAGGACGTACGGTGGCAGTCTATGTGTGAAAAGTGCTGGTGTTTCATAGCTTGTGGTTTCTACCCGATTCAAAACCGTGCTCCTCCCTTGGCGTATTTTGCTGTCATCATCTTCAGTGACTGATGGCTTCAGCTCAGTGGATGCCAGCCCGGGCACAGATTCTCTGGGTGGGGGGTCAGCATGCCCGTCCTTGAACGGATGCCCCCTCATCCAAGACAGCTGCAGCGCTACACAGTTGCTGTCTGCACTGCTGCACTAGAGACTTATGTGTCATTGTTGTTAGATGGTGTTCTGGGTGTAAGATAGAAATATTCCCATGAGGTCAGTATTATTTCTATTAGTAAGGGTCAGGGTTGTAAAAGAGCAGTTTTAATAGTAACAGTTTGTACTGGGGAGGAACTGAGGAACCTAGAGCCATATGACACGATTGATATGAGCCTGATACTTCTACACTATAAAGCTACAGCTAGCAGCTTATCAGCTTTTATGTGATTGAAATGATTGAATTCCTGTATTTGAAAGGGGAACAAGTCGTGATTTTAATTTTTTTGTCACAAAATTTGCTGTTGATCCCTCAAACTAGTTGTCCTCTTTCTATTCCAGTTGAGTTGGTGGTACTGTATAGTAAGCTGGTTTGCTTCCCACCGATAACATAACTCTAAAAATAAAAATAAATTCATTCCACTTTCTTTTCAGTTTACAGTGAGAATCATCCAGTCACAAAACAAAGCATGTTTGGGGGGGAAAAGTAACTAATACACAGCAGTAGGGAAAGGAACTGCAACACCAGGCTTCTTTCAAAGCACCGAATTTTCCACTGTTAGCTTAGCTTAAGGCCTGGAAACAAGAGGACATTATTATCCTATATTATCTAAAGCTAACAAAATCTGCCCGCAAACACCTCTCAACCTCAGTAGTTAACTGGCTGTATCTTGTCTGTTAAATAAAAAAAGTTTGTCCCTATTTCCAGTCTTTATAGAAAGCTAAACTTGGGTAAATGGGTTCTTGCTGGCGAGCTTCATGTTAAGTGGGATATTATATTGCTCATGCGTCGCTCAGCAGGAGTATGAGTGACTTCACAACTTCAAGTTGGCAAATTGCAATTGTGTTTTATTTAAAACAGAAAGGAGGTATCCAACTGTATCCGACAGTACCGGGAAAGGCTAACTGCCTACTTCTGAAGCTGAAGGCTGGTGTGTGAACTAATGCTGTAAACCTGCACGAACATCTCACAAGAAAACCGTAGCGCTCTGTGAAAATGGGATACGCCACTCCCTCTGTTGAAAGTCATTGTACTATATCTTTGAAACAAATATTTTATGGTGGGAAAGTTACATATTAAAGCTTTTATGAAGTGTGACTTTCAGAGACAGTTTAACTTTATTTAACAAAATCAGTTTGCATTTAAATAAATGAGCTTTGAAGGTGATTATTGGCAGGTTCTGTTCGTGGACAAGACCTAGCTAGCTTTTCCCCCTGATCATTATGTTAAGATAATTGGCTCCTGGATGTAGCTTTATATTTACTGAAACAAAGTTAAAGAAGTATTATTTTTTACAAAAAAGCAATGTCAGATTATATTTTTTAATGGATATCAGAACTCAAATTGTGTTTCGTTGTTGCATTTTTTTAGATGTTGGTTGTAATAATCCTCTTACAAAACATTCAAATGAAACCAGTCTGCCACTGGAAACGTTTGAAGGTTAAATGGGCTTATTTCAGACATACCAGGAGCTTTAGGTCGAGGGGGGGGTCTTGTTTTTGCACTTAACCCCATATTTGTCTGGTTCCTTTGTATTTAATTGAAGCAGTCTGTAATCATTTACTTTGCTGGATGACTCCTCTGTGTCTCCATTCACTGAAAGTCAACTCATCCCAGCAGTGTTATCTATTGGCTAGAGTATAAATCTGCATCTCTTTATTCCCCATGTATCCCCTGAGTCACATTGTCAGTTTCTTACTTGTGGCGCATGTGTGGATGGACACCAAAGGGCCAGCAGTTGGTGGTTGGTGTTGGGTCTGTGAGTCAGTGTGTGTTGAGACAGGAGTATGAAGCATCTTAAACAATCGCGTTATCAGTGGAGAGGTTTCAGCAGAGAGCGCGTTGGTCATTTCTGCAGCCAGGGGGTTTATTTATGTGGGGAAAGGTGTTGAGAGGAGGGGGAGCGGGCTCTCCTCCACACATGTTAGGCGGGACCTTGGTCAGCAATAAATCAAAAAAGCAAACAAAAGGCCTGACACTGGATACTCCTGTGCAGCACCTGC